TTGCGTGTTAACATATATGATGAATGCATTGGCAAAAAACAAAAAAGAATTTATAAAAGAGAAAATTTCAATTTTTTTTAAATGGATTTTTCTGTTAAAAAAAGTTGATCTTCATAAACTGGTATCTTAAAATACAAAAAGGGTATCATTATTAAAAAAAAAAAAAGTTATCTTTTTGAAATCAATTCTTAAAACTCTTCATTCCTAAATCACAAATATGCCTTTTGGAAAAAGAAAATGAAAGTAATTCCTTTATTCATATGAAATCACTTAATTATCCTTCGTCTAAAACTGAATTTAAGGGAATATGGGATTTTTAAGATATGACATAAGTGAAAAAAATTATATACATTCATTTAGCAAAAAATAATTTATGAAGACCATAAAAATATGGTTATAAAAAACAATAAAACTATAAGAGTTTTATATTTAAATTTTTATGTCACAAGTTTTTTATGTCGTAAATTTAAATATTTTTGTGCATATCCGAGACTAACTCATGTTCACCGCTGCATATATTAAAAAAAAAAATTCTTTGAATATTTGTTGCAAAACTTACAAGTTTTGCTTCCAAGAGGTTCTTTATTAATACTAGCATTCTGATTTAGCTTAGAGATTCGTGTGTATGGTAAAGCTTTAAACAACAGCCATGGAAAAATTTCGGGTTGGCTACTGATAAACAGCCATTACACTGAATGAAAAAGACACAGGACGGTTATGGCCACTAGTATTGTTGTTATAGCCACCAAAATTGTAAACTATTGTCTTTAATAATATTAATTTTATTTAATTTAACAAATAAAAATTATTAATAATTATAATTATTAATTAATAATTAATAAAATAATTAATATTTATTAGTTAACAAATTAAAGTTAATCAGTAAATTGATATTTTCAAATATTATTTGTAAAAATAACATTTTAGTGTCCTTTACAATTTCCATAGTGGCAATAACCACACCCAGAAGAAACCTGCTTCAAAATGTCATTGTTATTAACATTGGTATAACATGATGACTGAACATGCTCAATTATTCTGCCATTTAGATGACAGGCAATGAAGAAAATAGCAAAACTCTATTCAAGCATGTCAACTGCCTCAATGAAGGATAAAACCAGAAGATGGGAAAGAAGTCTTTGGCAAGTCACTCCCAAGATTCTAAAACAAAAATATCAAACAAGAACGCCATCCTAGAAATGAATGGGCTTATCATAAGTAGCCATTGCAGCTTCCTTCAATGCCTCGCTCATTGTAGGATGTGCATGGCACACACGTGCTATATCCTCGCTAGCTGCATCATAGTTGATGGCAAGCACAGCTTCATGAATGAGCTCACCAGCATTGGGTGCCATTATGTGGACTCCAAGTATTTTGTCCGTCTCCTTGTCAGCCAGTATCTTGACTATTCCTTCAGCATCATCAATTGCCTTGGCACGGCTGTTTGCCAAGAAAGGGAACTTACCAACACGGTAGTCAACCCCAAGTGCCTTAACCTGCTCCTCAGTCTTCCCCACAGAGGCAACCTCAGGATGAGTATAGACAACTCCAGGGACCTTATCATAATCTACATGGCCATGTTTGCCAGCTATAAATTCCACACAAGCAACCCCATCCTCTTCAGCTTTGTGGGCTAACATAGGCCCAGGAATTACATCCCCAATGGCATAAACACCAGGCACATTTGTCACAAATCTTTCATTGACCAAAATTCGTCCTGCCTTATCAGTTTCCACCCCTATCTTGTCCAGTCCCAATCCAGCTGTAAATGGAACCCTACCAGCAGAGACAAGAACAACATCAGCCTCAAGTGTTTTCTGCTCTCCACCAGATGCTGGTTCAACTGTTAGTTTCACAATATCTCCTGATGTATCAACTCCTACCACCTTGGTCTTGAGCATAAATTTCATCTTCTGTTTCTCAAGTGTGCGTTGGAATTGCTTGCGAATTTCCCCATCCATACTTGGAACAATATCTGGGGCAAACTCAACAACAGTAACCTCTGAGCCAAGTCGTCCCCAGACTGAGCCCATCTCAAGCCCTATATAGCCTGCCCCAATCACTATCAGTTTCTTAGGGACTTCTGACAAAGCCAGAGCTCCAGTTGACGAAACAATTCTCTTTTCATCAATGGCAACCCCAGGTAAAGATTTAACATCAGAACCAGTAGCAACTATGATATGCTTGCCCTTAACAACAGTATTCCCACCTTCAAGGGTGTCTACAGAAACTTCGGATGGAGATATGAATTTGCCATAGCCTTTGACATAATTTACTTTATTCTTCTTGAATAAACCTTCAATACCACGGGTAAGACCAGAGACAGCCTTGTCCTTTTGGGCCATCATGGCAGGCAAATCAACCTCAACAGAAGAAAATTTGACACCATGGCTCGGAAATGAATGCTTAGCTTCATGGTACATGTGGGAGGAATGGAGAAGGGCCTGAATGGAGAAAGAGAAACAATAGAAAGAAAAAATGTTCAACGTTACAGGTACCACAAAGTGCAAAAGTTGACTATAATAGGGAGAACTTTCATCTGCCCATTTAAGTAGATAATATAGTCTAAGTTGAGATTTAATAAAGGCAGTGTCAAGTGAAAACCCATATCAAGAAAGTTGAAAACAAAAATAACAGAACAAAGAACACACCAAACCCAGTAATAAGTGCAACTTTTCACAGGGGAAATACATTTTATGTTAATCAAGCAATCATGCAATCAGAAAAAAACCGTCCACACTACCTATCAATTACATGGTACCTGAGCGGAAACATGTCAAGGCGATATATCATATAATCCCAATTTCTCAAGTGCAATCTAAGAAGCACAGAGAAATCAAATATGCAATTTAACAGAGTATTCACCAAAGCTATGCAACCAATGCCACCTTAACCAAATCTCACACCAAAACTCAATAAAACTTAAGTCATCAGCATCAACTTACAACCAAAAGGACTGAAACCGAAGTCATACCATCAATCATTCAATCTATAACCGAAATGACTAAACTACAACAAAATTGATCCACAAATAAAAAATTAATTACAGAAAAAAAAACCCTAAAGATACCTTAGAAGGGATGCATCCCACGTTGAGGCAGGTACCGCCAAGGGTGCCGCGCTTCTCGATACAGGTAGTCTTAAGACCAAGCTGGGCGGCCTTGATGGCCGCCACATAGCCACCAGGCCCGCCTCCGATGACAACGACATCGTTCTCCTCAGATCCCGACGCGAAACCTCTCGAGAAAGTGCTCAGCGAAAAGGAGTACCTCAACGCATCGGCGGACGAATTCGAGAGGTTTCTGGATAGAAGGTAACCCTTCCTCCTTGCCAGGCTTGCCAGAGCCATTCCTTGTATCTGAATTTGTTCTTTTCTTAAGAGATTTTTCCGATCAAAGCCTACGTCTACTCTACTGACTGCGGCGGCTTTTTGAAGATGGAGTGAAAAACAGAGACGGTCAGACGGATTGAATGGGAAAAAATTGCCTCATTTGGTCGCCTTGAATTTTATACACATCTGGTGTGTCCGCCTTATAGAATTAGACATTTGGGTTAATCCAATCATGTGAAGACACGTTGTTACTAAAATGCATATCTGTGGCGGTTACCGTCGATTGATTGACTATCATAACGTTGACCTGATTGGTCGATCCGAAATCGAGTGGAATGTGAGATCGGTTGGATTAGTCGATTAGACGCTTGCTGGCTTTCGATTGGATTGCTTTTTCCTGCGCTTTTTGCACGGCAGGGTATAAATGTTAATTTATTATAATTAAATCAATTTTAATTAATATTTTACATATTTTAATAATTATATTAATGTATAAAATTATTTTTAAAGTAACTATTAAATAATAATATTTTTAATAAAATATTAAAAAACTATAATTATTGTACTTTATAATTATTCTAAATACATCTATAATAAATAATTATCTTTGATTTTTTAATTCACCTCATTTTCATATGTAATAATCATTTTTTATTTTTAAGAAAAATAAATTTTTACATATGATTGAATTGGTATAAATTAAAATTTTAATATATAATTAAAGGAAATTTAAAAAAAAATCAAAACATCTTAATTTTTATTTAAAATTAATAATAATAAAGTGTGTTTATAATTAAAATATCACATTGTTGATGTGGTATAAGTGTTGCCCATGTCGTTTTCCTTGTGCCATTTCTTATCAAGTAAAAGAACTTTGATGGAGATTTCTGATGTGAGCAAAATCAGAAAACGTGAGGTCAGAGGCAGAGGATAATGCCGATTTCCCCTGGAAAATGGTGGCCTCACACCCCCTACCATGACCAAGGAGAATGTGTATGGGGCGAGGAGCATGAGCTTTCTGCTAAGGTGATGTGATAATGGTTCTTTTGCCTCTGTGGGTAGCTGAAGCCTGAAAGGATGAAACTTAGCCTAGCCTAGGCCCTTGCCGAAATTTTCATTGCAGGGTAAAAGGGAAAAACCTGTCATCCATTGAATAGAGCTTCACAAATCAAATCCCAGAAGTGGTTTAAACATAAATGCAAGTAAAAACTCAAAAACGCAAGTGACACTTGTACAGCAGAAGGGGCAAAACTTAAACAGCAAATGTTGATTGCTAATTGCTTTTTCAATGAACCACAATGGATAATCTAAAAAATTAGTTACACAAGCCACTGTGATCCTAAAAAGACACTCCGTACATAACCTGAAGCCTAAGCCCTCTCCTAGAATTATAAAAACAGCTGGGAACTACAAAACTGTTGGCTGACTTTTCCCAACTACATATCTGAAACATCCAAAAACCAGACAAAAATGTGTTCTTACTGGGAAATAATAGTAATTAAATGAGGAAGAAGTCGTCTGTACATTCAATTGCCTTCTAACAAGCTGTTCAACCTACTCCTGGCCCCATCAGAGGGATTCCAGCACCTGAATCTTTGCCGCTGGGGAGGACACAACTCAGTACGACTGGGAGAAGAGAAGCATATAACAATTGCAGTAAGATTATCAGTTGAATCCAGGCGGGATGCTTCCATGACTAGTTCTCTGGCACATTCTTGTGGGTCATCATGCCGCCTTAGACCACGGCGTACAAGGCTCACTGCTGACTGGCTTGAAATTACATCCCAGATCCCATCACAACCAATGATTAGAAATTCATCATCCTCTGTCAACATGACCTGGTTAACATCGGGTTCTGCAATTAGAGGTGATTCTTTGCCAAGAGGGAGTTTCAATTCCCAGTCTCCAAGAGCTCGTGTGACTGAGAGATACCCATTCAGATAACCATCATCAATGGTGCCACCTAACTTCTCAACCCTTATGCATTCTGGTAAGTATGTAGGTTTATGATCCTGGGTCATGTCAACAGCAGATCCTTTTCTGCACAGAACAGCTCTGCAATCACCAGCATTTGCAACCATCAGATGCCTTCCAAGTACCAAGGCAGTCAGTACCGTTGTTCCACATGAGTGGCTGACACTGCTTTCAGCAGCCAAGGCATCGTCAGCGAGTAAAAACGCTTTCTTATGAGAACTCTCCAACTTTTTCAAGAAATCAGCATCAATATCAGCTATTTGTGGCAATTCAGCATCTTTAACAAATAATCTCATAGCATTCCTCTTGATATAAGTTGCTGCATCAGGACCATTATGACCATCAAAAACTGCATAGAAAGCACTTGGCATAGCACATCTCAGGAGAGAGCCCAGATGGCCAGATAAATCGTCAACTCTAATGTGTTCATCTTCCATGGACCTCCTCCGACCAATATCAGCATAGCTGCCAGAACGAATTCTTGGGACAAATTTGACAGCAGATGTCTCGAGGACAGCATCTTCAATTGTCTCCGAGGAAGTAACAACCTGCAGAAACAAAGAGAAGATGATAAGTCCAAATTCTTGAACACCTAAAAATCCAGTGATTGACCATATATCAAACCAACACGAAACAACTTTGCTGCAGTAAGTAACTGTAAGCAAATCAAAACAGCACAAAACAACCTTGCTGCACTGTTAGCAAAGATCCAATTTCGATGAAAACATCCCAGTTAACATCAAATACCTACCACAACTTTCTCCCCTTAATCTTACCTAATACATATCAGAAACATTTAGCACAGTAGCTGTTAACCATACAGCTAGTGTTTCAGAACCCCATCAACAAATTCACACGGTAACTTTTCTTTAAAAAAAAAAAAAAACCCATGAAATCTTTAACGAGAACTAGAATTTCAGCAAGAATAAAGCATAAGAGGTTCTTCGGCGATCTGATATTTCTAACATAAAGGAAATTTATACAGGTAAATTCTGAAAAAAATTGCTACTGAAACCAAATAAATCAGAGATAAATTTAACGAAAGGAGAAAAATCATAACTTCACGAACAAATCTGAATCTTTCAACCCAATGAAAGAAATTAGTTTCTCCGAATTATTAACAAAGAAAACCCATAATAATTAAAGCAAACATAGAACCCACAAATAAAAATCCCACCCTAATTTTACAATGAATAACCCAACCCATCAAACCAAAACAGCCTCCTCACTCAATTCGCGCCAAGAATTCAAGAAAAAATAACAGGTAAAATCACAGGAAAGCAATGAAGAACACAACACGCACCGATTCGAAACGGGAGATATACGCAGAAATCGATTCGGTTACCTGAAAACGCATAAACTCCGTCTCTGTAATCATCTTGTGACTCACAATCATCCCACCAAAAAAATAAACTCGAAAACAGTCGTGGATTCGTTCCTCAACCTCCAAATCTTCCTCTTCTTCTTCTTGTTTATAGGGGTTTCTCAAGAACCAGAAGAATCCGGCGATTCGAAATCCAAGGGGACGCGACTCGCGTAAATCGGTGTTTGGGGGGGTGTAAGGGAGGAAATGGGAATGGTTACATACGAATGAGGAGAGGCTAAGCAGAGTGCTGGTAATATAGACCTGGGGGCTGTTTTTTTGGATTAACGGCGGGATTAACCGGTTGCACCGCCTTACTTATGACCGACACGTGGAGGTGTGATGACGTGGACTTTGACTTCCGGGGAGAGTTTTGGTTTTCGGATCTCTTTTTTTTTAATTAACTCATAAAACGGGCCCACTTAACGTGGAAAAAAACTGCTTAGTGCGAACCACTGTTGGCCAATCAGAAATAATTGAAAATCTTTTATTTCACGTCCACAAAAAAAACAAAAGATGTTTTTTTTTTTTTAAATCAACCGATTTCTTTAAAAATCTGAAAAACCAGATTACAGGTAAAAATAAAAAAATAAAAAACTTAAATTCGTTTCTTTAAAATGAAAAACAATATTTACTTTTGCTTTAAAAAAAAATTAAGAGATTAGTGTTAACTCCACTTCTCCATCTTAAAAAAAAAATTAAGAAAAAAAATCTAAAAGTTATTTTATTTAAAAGATTTTTAAACTTGTGCTTTAAATATTATTTTGTAATAAATTTGTATGAAAAATATAAAAATAAATATTAATTTTAGTGTTAATATCATATAAATAAATTTAATTAAATAATTAATAAATTAAATATTATTTTTTAATTTTTCAAGATCCTTAAAGGTATAAGTTAAAAAACTTTATTTTAGTGAAATATTAAAATAATTAAAATAAATTTATTTATATTTTAAAAATAAAATTTTAAAACTTTTTAATTTATTAAAAAAATATAATTATTGTTTTGATTTAAATGTTTTTTAATCACCAAACCATACACGTAAATTTAATTTTATTACATCAATTATTATTTTGAGTGGGACGACGTGTGGTGCCAAGTTGTATACTTTAGGTAAGCTTTTTGGTTTGAGTGGGCATAGAGTAAGATCCCAACTTCTCAAAGGCCAATAATTATTATAATACTAATCACTACTACCATTAACATACATCATTAATTTTGTCTTTCACTCTTTCTAAATAAAGCATCCGCATATTATTCGGTATTATCCTCTAACGTTGAAGTTTCAAATTTTAATATTGTTTTGCAAAAATTTGATCCAATTCTATACGCAAGATTAAAAATTCCTCAATAAAAAATGATTTTGAGATAATTTTTTATACTATTTTTTAGTATAACTTAATATATTATTTAAATGATTGATTCTTTTTATTCATGTGAGATTCGTGATATTGAATGTATCCATCTTTTTAATGATTTGTGAAAATTATATGAAAATATAGTATAAAAATATTGTCTTTATAGTACCACCCTTTCTTAATTAATAGTAAATACTAATTCAACTAAAATCATATGATCCATATATTTGATAGATTTTTTTCTTAGCCAATATGTCTTCAATAAATCACAATTGCAACTTTATACTTAATAAGATTCATGTATTATAGTTTAGACTATATAGTAAAATTACAGTTTTCCATATAAATTTATTAAAATGTTATTAATGAAATAATATAAAAAATAATTTTTATTAAAAGTATTTTAATAAATTTATAAAGCAAACTATATTTTTAATATACAATATATTATTAAAAACACTCTTTTAATACTTAATTAATATATTTCTTTTCTTAGTTTAAAACTTTGAATAATCAAATTACCTTATCCTTCATTTCAATTCTGTTTAAAAAAAAAAAAAGAAAAAACTTGCCTTATCTTTGAAGTTATGTTTTCTATTTGAAGTAAAAAGTTAAAAAAAAGCCATCAAATCTTACCTAACATACATAGAAAAGTGGAAGAAGATGTAAAAAAAAAAACAAAAAACTGTTTAAAGTTGTTGGTGGAAACCTCTTTATTTAATATAATCAAATGATTAGTTACCGAATTAAGTATAATACGTCGTAATTGGTTGTTAGGTTAGAGGCAGGGAATTATATGGACAGCGTCGAGTATACGTGTGTGCATGAGAATCACTTGAGAAACACCAATCAAATGTATTGTTATTGAAAGTAGCCTGCCAGACTGTGACCACCAAGCAAAAAGGCACTCTATTAATTTGGTGTTTCTTTAATGTTGTCGACTTTTTATTTACCACCACAAGCTGCCAAGGTGGTTGTTCTAGACTTTTAGGATATGTGCTGATTCTCTTGGTAATTGGTATGCAGAAGATGTGGATGTGTATTTGTTTCAATACAAAACGGCTAGAAGATTATTTATTTTTATAATTTTTATATAATTTTATATATTAAAAAAAAACATAATATAATTTAAATGATATCAAATTATATTATATTATGATTAAATAAAATTAGATTTTTTGATATTGAAACTTTTTCTTTTATTTAATAATTTATATTTTATAACTTATTATAGTATGAATTATAAAATAGAGTTTTTTTTTACATATTATTTAATAATTAATTTTTTTTCATTTTATTAAAAAAATACTAACAATACTCTATTTGACACTTTCTTTTAAAGACTTTTATATGATTTTTTTAACTTATTTATAAGGGATGAAATTGAACCCAAGTCCAAAGAGGAGAGGGGGGGTGCACATTTTTTTAATGTGGTTAATGCTATTAGGCTCAAAAAGTCATGTGCAAAGACTTTTATATGATTGAAATATATTTGTCATAAATTTAATATAATTAGTTATAATTTTAAAATATAAAAACATTAATTTTAAGGTGAATCATTAATCATATTAAATTTATATTTTACATAATCTGATTGCATTAAAAATATTCCAAAAAGTGTTAGAGAGAGTGTTTCTAACACTTTTTTTTTATTAATATTCATAATATTATATGTATCTACTTATTTAAAGATAATATGTAAAAATTATATAAAAATGTATAAAAAAATTTTTCTAAAAATAATTATCTTTAATTATATATCATGTGATTCAAATTAGATGGGCAAATGTTTGTGATATGTTTTAATTTTTATTTTCGGATATTCAAATAACACTTTTCTAGAAGTTTTAAAGAAAGGAAAAAAGGTGGGAAAAAAAATCTTCACCTAAAACCAAGGTCTTCAATGCTGATATTTATAAAGAAAACAACATTCATTTTTCAAGCAAAAATATCTGGATCATTTAGGAAACATGAGGTATGGAAAATATGATCCCAAAAAAATTTATAAAAATCGAAGTTCAATTGGTATGATATTTTAATATATCCGTGCTTTAAAGGGGCAAAGCTATTGCCTTTACAATTCTGGTTTGTCCCACATTGATTGGTGCAACAGCATTCAGCACCTTTAGAGACGTGATGCATACACATCATTGAAGTCAACCTGTTGATGCTGATTAATAATACCACTTTCATTTTAATTCTAAATTGGCATTGATGAGAGTCATTAAGAATATCATCAATGAAATGAATTTAAAGAAAAAAGAAAAAGTAGAACACTAGGGACTCTATTTGAAGACAATTGAGCATAAAAAATTGTAGCTTGAGGCTCAAAGTCAAGTCATCAATGCGGTATCTGACACGAAAAGCAAGCAGTTTGGTGAATTTGACTTGGCATTGATTGTTGAGAAGAGTTGAGCTGTTAATGATTCAAGTTTTTAGCGAGGTTTGAGTTTTTGTTTATTCACAGCAAATGGCCTGCTTCTCTTTCTGCAACTTTTCCCATAGGCATAAAACCATCCTTGGGCCTTGATAATGAGCGAGGATGTAATTTGTATCACATCCAGCATTGTAGAACCTCTCATCATTGATGTAATGCACTTCATGACCACTGGCATTGAACTGTTGGATCCATATTCCCATTGCAACATCTTCTAGTTTGAAAAGCTGTTAAAAAGGCAAGATGATTAGTGGATATTATATATATATATATATAGTTTGAAGAAATAGACAACATTATTTAACTCAAAAGAAAAATAAACATCTCCTGCAAAAACCCACTAATCCATCCTTTGCAAAGATATTGATTGAGAGAGGGCAGGGATGAGGGTGGGAGAAGTCTAAAATATCACCTCTAGATGCATGAGGTGGCATAACAATAAAGAAATGAAGATAAACCAAGTCTTAATCCCAATAAAGGACCATCCATGATTGGTAGACATCCCAACTGTTACCGATGTGATGAATGACATTGCAGCATTATATGTCTGAACGTGGCATCATCCTAATATGGATCAGAGAAGACCCCCTCAAGAGAGTGAGGGGAGAGCGAGTATGAATCATGAACTCTTAGCTCAGGAGACAAACACTGGACATGCAAACATGTTCTGTCTTAAATCTTTCCATTATAATCTTCTGACCATATAACCCCAGACAAAGAGAACTCAGTCTAATTAAAATTAAATTTAAGGTAGTTAGAACTGCCTTTGCTCTCACGTAAGCAACCACATTTACCTGGAGATCCCTCTCCTGGTGGCCTTGGACAATGAACTTTGCAATGTCCCTAGATATAATGTAACCGGGACCATGTGCCCATGGTGGATATTTATCATGTGGCCATTCCTGCAGAAGAGAGAACACTTGTTAAAGTGCTATAAAGAAAGTATTATCAGACATGTATTAAATTTCTGACTAAGATACCTTCTCAGTGATGTACCATTTGCTGTCCTTTTCCCTATGAGGAGATGATTCTAAGGCTATAAGGCCATACAACAGGCCATTAGATGTCTTCCCCTTGAGGCTGGAGACAACCTCATCAATTCTAACAAAAGCATCATCATCCGTTTTCATAATGTATTTAGCAGGGAGAATTTTAGTCTGCAAAGTTTTCTACTTCTATTATTATTATTTAACAAAACAGAAAGCAATGAGTGAACTTGCTGTAAGGAATATTCATTTCATTCAAAGGGTTTTAGCCATTATCATACCCCCATAATGCAAACTGCAATTGTTTTCAAAGTGATCAGGCTGTAGTAATCAACAAAAGGCATGAACTGGATGTCTCCATACGTTCGAGCTTCTCTCCACAGCTCATAATTTGCTTGTTTGTTTGTGTTCTGAGTGTGAAAAATATAGAAATTGGTCACCAGCTCATAATTCCAGCTTTAATATAGAAAAATGTAATGCCATGTTGAATGTCTTAGCGAGGCCTTAAACAGGTAATTTATAACTTACAAGGCCAATGAAAAATCGGACAGCAATATCCCCAGAACGTACAGCCTCATATTGCATCCAAGATCTTCTCAATGCCATGCGACGCTTGAAATTATTTCCAGTAGAGAAGATCCCAACCAGCATTAGTAGTCTTTCCCTAGAAATTGAGGGAGCTTTCAAGTGCTCCGCATTAACTATTAACTCATGATCTTCAGAAACTGGCAAGCCTTCAGAAAAGGCAGACAGGAGATCCAAACCACCTGCTACTTTAACTACATTAACTGCCCAGGGCTCAAGTTTCTGCAAATAGAAAGCCAGGATGGGATTGCCCTGTCTAATTAAATACAATTAATTTGAGTATAAGTAAGGTTCTAATTTTAAAATTTCATAGCAGAGAAAGTCATACCTTACCTTCCTGTAGGCAAATGAGGTTTCATGCCTTCCATTCACAGTCATATGGAATCCCTCTAAACCAACCCACAAGGTAGCAGTAAAAGGATTTCCTTCAACAAATGGGAAATTAGCACTTCCATGGGAAGCATTGGTCAAGCTGTAGCCACTAGAGAGACTGGTGTTTTGGTTCTCTTCCACAGTGCCTCTGACAACTTGTTCATTGCAAAGACTGAGTCCATCAACTGAAAATTGATGCCAGACAGGTTAGATTACTAATCACATAAATGGTAGGTTAAAGTGTTCGAGAACGTACCTTTTAGATTGTTATCAGATCCATGCGAAGGACATTTTTCTTCTTTTCCCCACCCAAGTTCATTTGTCCATGTATTTTGAACTATAAAAGGCTCCTCAGTCATATTATCCCCGGGAAGACTGACATTGTACTGAAGGATGATAGGAGGCTTTGACTCCCCAGAAAAGTTTGATCCCACAAGTTCAATTTCAAAACTTCGATGGTGTCCATCAGGGATGCCAACAACTGTAATGGAAGAATCCTCAACAAGACCACATGGGAGCTCAAGAATATTTCCACTGCTGAGTAATGTCTTATCAAGGGTACTAACAGAGAAAGGGCAGTTTTCTTCTGGTTCGTCAATGTTACTAGACTTGACAGCTCTTTCTTCCTCAATTGCATCCATTAACTCCTTCCATGCTATAGCAGCCTCTTTAATCCCCTGAAGAGTTTCAGGTAAAGCATCAGACCTAGAGAGAAGCAAACGCATATGGGGCCATAAAAGTAAGGCATTTGACTCCTCTTCAGGAATATTTCTAGAAGCATATAAATCATCAAGTCCTTCCATATTTACAAGATGTGGCTTCGTCACAGCTCTTGGTACCTTTTTCACTTCCATCTTAGGAGTTGCAACAGAATCATTATTCTTCACAAGAGTGCCACCAGCTGGATGGTTTCTGAAGAAATCATATGCTGTCTGCCTTTTTGGATGTGTTTCCCTAAGGCTATAACTCATAACCAAGACTATAGCAAGCACTACAATCAACACACCACCAGACCACTTCTTCATTCTGAATAAACCAAATGCTATCTTACTCTTCTGTCTAGCCCCATTCTCCATCTACCAAAACAATGCAGAGGAAGCTAAGATGTAAATAATTCATGACTTCAAAATCAACTAAAGAAAAAGATAGTAAAGTTTAAGACGGCCCTAAAGCAATTGAAAACTTAAAAAACTTTCCTGTATTAAAAAAATTTCTATTCATGAACTTATAAATAATGGGTTAAGATGTTTATGGTAGAATATCAACTTAGAACTCCTCAATCATCTAAACATCAGCCTCTTCAAACAATTTCCGTCCAACTTCATTCATTCCCTTTAAGTATTGCATAAAATAAAAACGCAAGTAAATAAAGCATGAATCTTTTCTCAACGAGTAGCTATAGTGAGTTGTGCGTACCTTAAAGTCGTAGCTATATATGTCTAAGAAGCCAACATCAAGAACTTTAGAATCTAGATCCCAGAAATCTGAGGCAGGAGATTTTGGTGAGCTAAACAGCGAGAAACAGTACGAAGGCGGAGGATGGGATTCAATAAAGAACTAAGGCATTGAAGTAGCATGGAGTTCGGACATATTTGTTCGAGAAGAGAAACGATTTTTAACTTTACCGTCGAAGTTCCGACTTCCGAGTAGAAAATAGTATGTCTGTGTCTTCTGAGTTCCCTGTCGGAACATGGAATGAATGATTGAAGAAGTTTACCGGGTAAAACGCACCGTTTATGCCTTAAGTTTCCACTGGTTTAAGAAAAGTAATTTTTTTCCTTAAAAAATATTTTTATCACTTTTTCCTTTTTACCAAGGAAAAAACGTGTTGCACGCTTCCACTCTCCCCCACCACATCATCGTCTGGGTGAAAAAGAGTGATTCTCAAAAACCATCTGTTAACAACATTAGTGCGAGCAGAAAGAGTTCAATATTTTTAAATAAAATTTAGAATTTGAATATTATAAATTAAAAAATAAATTGTAATAAATTTTTTTTATAATTAAGTGTTTGTTTGACCTAA